TACCCTTTCCCGTTTTGTGTGGTATTTGCAGGACTTTTCCAGGGTGCCAAGGGAATCCCGGCAAATTTTGACCGGCAAAGTTGTTCCTACCCGTTCCCGTTTTGTGTGGTATTTGCATCACTTTTCAAGGGTGCCAAGGGGATCCCGGCAAATTTTGACCGGCAAAGTTGTTCCTACCCTTTCCCGTTTTGTGTGGTATTTGCATCACTTTTCCCGGGTGCCAAGGGGGTCCCGGCAAATTTTGACCCGCAAAGTTGTTCCTACCCGTTCCCGTTTTGTGTGGTATTTGCATCACTTTTCCCGAGTGCCAAGGGGATCCCGGCAAATTTTGACCGGCAAAGTTGTTCCTACCCTTTCCCGTTTTGTGTGGTATTTGCAGGACTTTTCCAGGGTGCCAAGGGAATCCCGGCAAATTTTGACCCGCAAAGTTGTTCCTACCCTTTCCCGTTTTGTGTGGTATTTGCATCACTTTTCTAGGGTGCCAAGGGAATCCCGGCAAGTTTTGACCGGCAAAGTTGTTCCTACCCTTTCCCGTTTTGTGTGGTATTTGCAGGACTTTTCCAGGGTGCCAAGGGAATCCCGGCAAATTTTGACCGGCAAAGTTGTTCCTACCCGTTCCCGTTTTGTGTGGTATTTGCATCACTTTTCCAGGGTGCCAAGGGGATCCCGGCAAATTTTCACCGGCAAAGTTGTTCCTACCCTTTCCCGTTTTGTGTGGTATTTGCATCACTTTTCCCGGGTGCCAAGGGGGTCCCGGCAAATTTTGACCCGCAAAGTTGTTCCTACCCGTTCCGGTTTTGTGTGGCATTTGCATCACTTTTCCCGAGTGCCAAGGGGATCCCGGCAAATTTTGACCGGCAAAGTTTTTCCTACCCTTTCCCGTTTTGTGTGGTATTTGCATCACTTTTCTAGGGTGCCAAGGGAATCCCGGCAAATTTTGACCGGCAAAGTTGTTCCTACCCTTTCCCGTTTTGTGTGGTATTTGCAGGACTTTTCTAGGGTGCCAAGGGAATCCCGGCAAATTTTGACCCGCAAAGTTGTTCCTACCCTTTCCCGTTTTGTGTGGTATTTGCATCACTTTTCCGGGGTGCCAAGGGAATCCCGGCAAATTTTGACCGGCAAATGTTGTTCCTACCCTTTCCCGTTTTGTGTGGTATTTGCAGGACTTTTCCAGGGTGCCAAGGGGATCCCGGCAAATTTTGACCGGCAAAGTTGTTCCTACCCTTTCCCGTTTTGTGTGGTATTTGCAGGACTTTTCCAGGGTGCCAAGGGGATCCCGGCAAATTTTGACCGACAAAGTTGTTCCTACCCTTTCCCGTTTTGTGTGGTATTTGCATCACTTTTCCAGGGTGCCAAGGGGATCCCGGCAAGTTTTGACCGGCAAAGTTGCTCCTGCCCCAGGCCCTCCTGGGCCCCAAGAAGCAATGAAACATAAGAAACAGATGAAGGATGAAGCAGATGAAGCAGATCATGAAGATGATGAAGATGATGGAGATGATGAAGATGATGAAGATGATGAAGATGATGAAGATGATGAAGATGATGAAAATGATGAAGATGATGAAGATGATGAAGATGATGATGAAGCTGATTGGGATCATTGATGTCAAGGATGCACATGAAACATATTGGAACAACCGTGGAGATGAGAGAGATGATGGGGATGATGAAAAAAGATGATGAAGATGATGAAGATGATGAAGATGATGATGATAGATGATGAAGATGATGACGATAATGAAGATGATGATGATGATGCGGATGAGGATGAGGATGATGATGATGAAGCTGATTGAGGGGGCCCTCCCGCAGGAGGAATTAAATAATTTAAATATGAAGGCCCCGATTTAAATATGAATATTTAATTCGGGGCCTTCATATTTAAATTATTTAATTCCTCCTGCGGGAGGAAGCCCGGCCCCCCCCCCTCCAGGATTTAAATTATTTAAATTATTTAAATTATTTAATTCCCGGGCCCGATTTACATAATTTAAATATGAAGCTCCCGAATTAAATATTCATATTTAAATCGTGGCCTTCATATTTAAATTATTTAAATCGGGCCCGGGAATTAAATAATTTAAAAACATTTAAAGAATTTTAATAATTTAAATAATTTAAATAATTTAAATCCTGGAGGGGTGGGGGGGCGGGCCTCCTCCCCCAGGAGGAATTAAATAATTTAAATATGAAGGCCTCGATTTAAATATGAATATTTAATTCGGGGCCTTCATATTGAAAATTTTTAATTCCTCCTGCAAAAGGAGGCCCGGCCCCCCCCCCCTCCCGGATTTAAATTATTTAAATTATTTAAATTATTTAATTCCCGGGCCCGAATTAAATAATTTAAATATGAAGCTCCCGAATTAAATATTCATATTTAAACCGTGGCCTTCATATTTAAAGTATTTAATTCGGGCCCGGGAATTAAATAATTTAAATAATTTAAATCCTGGAGAGGAGGGGGGCCTCCTCCCCCAGGAGGAATTAAATAATTTAAATATGAAGGCCTCGATTGAATTATGAATATTTAATTCGGGGCCTTCATATTTAAATTATTTAATTCCTCCTGCAAAAGGAGGCCCGGCCCCCCCCCCCCCCCCCTCCAGGATTTAAATTATTTAAATTATTTAAATTATTTAACTTATTTAAATTATTTAATTCCCGGGCCCGAATTAAATAATTTAAATATGAAGCTCCCGAATTAAATATTCATATTTAAATCGTGGCCTTCATATTTAAATTATTTAAATCGGGCCCGGGAATTAAATAATTTAAATAATTTAAATAATTTAAATATTTTAAATCCTGGAGGGGGGGGGGGGGGGGGGGCCTCCTCCCCCAGGAGGAATTAAATAATTTAAATATGAAGGCCTCGATTTAAATATGAATATTTAATTCGGGGCCTTCATATTTAAATTATTTAATTCCTCCTGCAAAAGGAGGCCCGGCCCCCCCCCCCTCCCGGATTTAAATTATTTAAATTATTTAAATTATTTAAATTATTTAGATTATTTAAATTATTTAAATTATTTAATCCCGGGCCCGATTTAAATAATTTAAATATGAAGGCCACGATTTAAATATGAATATTTAATTCGGGAGCTTCATATTTAAATTATTTAAATCGGGCCCGGGAATTAAATAATTTAAAAAATTTAAATAATTTAAATAATTTAAATAATTTAAATAATTTAAATAATTTAAATAATTTAAATATTTTAAATCCTGGAGGGGGGGGGGCCGGGCCTCCTCCCGCAGGAGGAATTAAAGAATTTAAATATGAAGGCCCCGAATTAAATATTAATATTTAATTCGGGGCCTTCATATTTAAATTATTTAATTCTTCCTGCGGGAGGAGGCCCGCCCCCCCCCCTCCAGGATTTAAATTATTTAACTTATTTAAATTATTTAACTTATTTAAATTATTAAAATTATTTAAATTATTTTAAATTAATTTAAATTATTTAATCCGGGCCCGATTTAAATAATTTAAATATGAAGTTTTTTTTTTTTTTTTCCCGAATAAATATGAATATTTAAACGTGGCCTTTCAATATTTAAATATTTAAAATCGGGCCGCGGAATTAAATATTAAATAATTTAAAAATCTAAATAATTTTAAAATAATTTAAATATTTTAAATCCTGGGGGGGGGGGGGGGCCGGGCCTCCTCCCGCAGGAGGAATTAAATAATTTAAATATGAAGGCTCCGAATTAAATATTAATATTTAATTCGGGGCCTTCATATTTAAATTATTTAATTCTTCCTGCGGGAGGAGGCCCGCCCCCCCCCCCCTCCAGGATTTAAATTATTTAAATTATTTAATTCCCGGGCCCGAATTAAATAATTTAAATATGAAGGCCACGATTTAAATATGAATATTTAATTCGGGAGCTTCATATTTAAATTATTTAAATCGGGCCCGGGAATTAATAATTTAAATAATTAACTAATGGAAATAATGTAATTTAAATAATTTAAATAATTTAAATAATTTAAATAATATATTTAAATCCTGGAGGGGGGGGGCGGGCCTCCTCCCGCAGGAGGAATTAAATAATTTAAATATGAAGGCCCCGAATTAAATATTAATATTTAATTCGGGGCCTTCATATTTAAATTATTTAATTCTTCCTGCGGGAGGAGGCCCGCCCCCCCCCCCCTCCAGGATTTAAATTATTTAAATTATTTAATTCCCGGGCCCGAATTAAATAATTTAAATATGAAGCTCCCGAATTAAATATTCATATTTAAATCGTGGCCTTCATATTTAAATTATTTAAATCGGGCCCGGGAATTAAATTTAAAATTTAAATAATAATTTAAATAATTTAAATAATTTAAATATTTTAAGTCCTGGAGGGGGGGGGGCGGGCCTCCTCCCGCAGGAAGAATTAAATAATTTAAATATGAAGGCTCCGAATTAAATATTAATATTTAATTCGGGGCCTTCATATTTAAATTATTTAATTCCTCCTGCGGGAGGAGGCCCGCCCCCCCCCCCCTCCAGGATTTAAATTATTTAAATTATTTAAATTATTTAAATTATTTAAATTATTTAAATTATTTAAATTATTTAATTCCCGGGCCCGAATTAAATAATTTAAATATGAAGCTCCAGAATTAAATATTCATATTTAAATCGGGGCCTTCATATTTAATTCAGGCCTGGGACCCCCCCTAGGACCTAAAATAGGGTCTATTTGGAAGTTGGCTCTTGTAAATAAGTATACGTTTTGGGGCCTTTTTTCCTCTTGTGAACACGAGTGCCAGCTTCCAAATAAACCCTATTTAAGCTGCACCCCCCCCCCCCCCCTCCCAAAGAAAACAAAAACAAATCAATCAATGCAAATATATGTGTATATGTATATATATATATATATATCTATATACATATTTTATTTATCTGTATAATATATATATATATATATATTTATATATAGATATTAATTAGGTGCGTCTATAGTTCCCTGGTTGGAGATCCAGCCGAAGAGGCCCAGTAGGGTGGATCGCGGACTCCGATCTGCATGGCCCTGAGGCGGCAGCCTCCCAGAGAGTCTTGTGCATGTGGGGTTCAGAGGTTTTAGGGTTTAGGGTTTAGGGGTTTAGGCTTTAGGGTTTAGGGTTTAGGGTTTCAGGTTTAGGGTTTAAGTTTTTGTTTGCCACCTTCCTAGGTTCAGAGGTTTAGGGTTTACGGTCAAGGTCTACGGGCGTAGGGCACCCATTCCTGTCAGGATTGGGAAGTTTCGGGTTTGGGGTCTTTTCGCTTCCGGGCTGTTGCAGTGGCCGGGCTTCACAGCGTTTGGGGTCTTGACTTCAGGGTTTTAGGGGTTTAGGGTTTGGCGTACACACGTCGTACCGGGCCATGGATTCGGGAGCGTGAAAATCGGAGACCGTCAGATAGTCAAACCGAGTTGAAGCTCTGTAGAGAGGGCTGAAACGCCTGCATTGAGAGCAGAAAAGGCTCCATTCGGTGGCTCCGTTCGGTTGAGAAGGGGCTCTCAAAAGAGGTGTCCCAGATTGATTCTTTCCAGTGCCAGAATGTCTGAGGGTCTAGACCTGGATGTCAGACTGTCTGAGTGCTGCTGCCCTGCTGCATGCCAAGCCCTGCCAGACACACCAATGAAGCAGACAGTAAGAAGAAAGACGGCCTCTAGGAAGGATCCTTCGTCTGAAGCGAAACAAGGCAGACAAGCTGAACGCTGTACCGACGTCTGCAGCGTTTTGTTCTTGGAGCTCCTGCGTGGGCAATGCCTTTTGCAAAAAACCCGGATTTGTTTCGATCAAAAAAACTCAAAAGGTCACCCTGGCAAGTCATGGGTGTGTGCTCCGTTGTGCGATCCTACACTGGAAGCCATGTTGCAAACGGGTTTCCCCTTTTGCAACCCTAAGCCCTTGGGGTGGTCAGGGGGTCGCTTGACTAACATGTTGTCCTTGCCCACCTCCCTTGCCCATGCCTCTCGACAAGATCTCTCCAATATCTTGCCATGCTCTGTGAACATCTCCCCTCCCAGATGTTCCCACTCCTGCCTGCACCCTGACCCCTAAGCTCCATCATACCCCAAACCCAAACACCCTAAACCCAACAAACCCCCAAAAAAACCCAAAAAACTAAACGCCCTAAGCCGCGCCTATCATCATCACGCAGAGCATCGGTGCAAAAGCCAGGCTCCGCTGGACGGCCCCAGCGGAGTTTGTAGCCCAGGCCCCCAAAGTGTGGCGCAGGAAGTCTGAGCAGCCGGGTGTCGGGTTTAGGGGTTTACTCGGCTGGGTTTAGGGGTGTAGGGTTCAGGGTTTCAGGGTTTACGATTTAGGGGGTGTGATTGCACAAGTACGAGCTCAAACTTCAATGGCAAGAACTACAAATAAATATACATGGATAAATATAAATATATATAGGGGGTTTACGATATTATCGGTACCTTATAGGGGTCCTTTCTATAAGGGGATCCTACTATTTGGTGGGGTCTAAATTTGGGGTCCCTTATTATCGTAAACCCCCATATGGGAATAGCAACGATCAAGATGACAACAAGCTGAAACGGACAGTCTCATGCAGCGTGTTCCGCATAGACAGCTCCACTTTGCAAAGCCGATTTCCCTGAATAGCCCCCAAACCCCCAAACCCTGTTGAGGGACGGGACTAGTCTGAGCCTTAATTTCGCAAAACCTTTGGAGCTTTCGGGCAAGCCAGGGGGCTGCCCACCAGCAATGCCAAGTTGGCGAGATAGTAGACCACGGTCCTTCGTGTATGGGGGCTTAGAAGGCTCTTTGAAGGCTTGCATCCTGCAACGTCGCGCAGAACACTTACAGGTCCATGTACGTGCTTCGGCCACAAAGCGCCTGCTTTTTTGAGGTACGTCCAGGGCAACCGAGACGCTTTGCACCAGTTGCAGCAACAAAAAAACCAACAGCACTCCAGAACTCCCCAAAATGAAAAAATATTCTTCCCTAGAAGGGTAATCAGGGGATTCTTTATTTGTTCTTTTTTTGGGGTTCTTAAGCAAATAGTAGCCCCTATAATATGTAGCTTGGCCGAGTGTCAAGGTCATAACGCATTGCATGGCAGTGGAGAGTGGTGGAGATGCGGCAGATGCCGGCGACATGCCTTTCGACCTCATGGCACATACGGTGCTGAAAGTGGGCCAGCAAATAGCCATCACAAAGCCCAAATCTACAGATGGACCCTCCATGGTACCCTTTGTCATCGAGCCATGTCCCTTACAAATTTTCAGCAGCTCCCACCCATCCCCCTAAACCCTCAACCCTAAACCCTAAGCCCCTTTTATGAACCCAGACTCAGGGCATCAGGTTCAAGAAAAAATCTTAACCCTAATTAAACCCTAAACCCAAAACTTTTCAGGTGGTGTTGCCAAGGCAGAATGAGCCGACATTTGCTGGCCGTGACACTCCATCACTGCAACGCTGAACAACACCACCACCGTTCCGACCTGGAGCAAGCCGTAGGGGTTTAAGGGTGTGGGTTTAGGGTTTAGGGTTTTAGGGTTTTAGGGTTTAGGGTTTAGGGTTTAGGGTTGAGGGTTGAGGGTTGAGGGTTGAGGGTTGAGGGTTGAGGGTTGAGGGTTGAGGGTTGAGGGTTGAGGGCCAAACCCGGCATCGTGTCTCAGAAAAGTTGCCGACATGAACCCAGTGGCATAAATGCAGCATGTCGTGCCGGCCCAGAATGCACCCAATGACTGTCGGTCCGATGCCGCATTGGGGGAACAGGCCTTAGGAAGAGACTCTCCATGATGCCGCAAGACTTGCCTAGGCGTACGACTCTCTGCCAATCAAGTTCCGCAGAAATTCGGACCAGTCGCAGGACCGGCAGCTTCATCGCCCAGCAAGCACGACCCTTTCGGAATTTCCTGGGGCTTTTTGTCAATGTCAAGCTTTCAAAAAGGTTTTGCCGCAAGCCGCAGCTGAAAACTGGCCTGGCTATGGATGATGGCGTATATCGATCGTGCCGCCTGGACAATTGTGGCAAGAGTGGTCCTCAGCCGCAATTACTTGACAATGATGTGTTGTATTGAATTTTGGAGCCTGCAACACGGATACACGGATGTGCTGCTACGGCAGATGCTGAGAGCTGCGCAGGTACATGGCGAATGCTGCCCAAGGCCTCCAAAAGCACGCTTCAAAATTACAAGATCTGCAAGATTCTAGTGTCCCCTCACAGCGTAGTTGCCGGATTCCTTGGGCTCTGGACAAAACCCCACTCTGTCTTGCCGTTCAGCGCTGACTTTGTCTAGCGCAAGTAACGAAACCTTAGCCGCCTTTAGCCTCTCTGGAATAACCACCTCTTCATGAGTCACTGGGGCAGTTCGACTTCTATCTCCCCCGTTGCTTCACCATCAGCTGTAAAGCAAAGGGGGGAAGCCGCTAAAGTCATGTCGGATGGCCTGGTCTCCAATTGCAGCTGCACTGCCCGCAGGGCGATTGCAACCAAGAGTACACACAACATTGGCGGAAACCTGTCCAAGAATTATTGGACAGGGCCACTCTGCGAAAATGTACGTGGCAACTCATGGTGACTATTCATGAAACACACTGCGGTCTCGCCAAGCAGCTGCAGCGACATTCGCGCTGGAAGGACTAATCTGTCTTCTTCCTTGGGGTTGTTCAAAAGGTGCTGGTCTCCAACTGCATGCAACGAGCAAGCTGCACGTGGCTTGGTATCGAAATTTGTCCCAGTGACCAAATCCGAGTTCGACATTGGCGAGATGGCACCATAGGGGGGATCCTGCAAAGGTACAAAGCAGCTTCGCTTCAAGTAGACCAAAAACGGCAGAATCAAGCGGAGCAAACGACCTTGCATACCTGGGAGGCCAGATACAGAAGCGCAAGCCAGATAAATCATTGAGGCGAATTAGACAAAGTCTCAAACCCTACCTTGGCCCTGTTCCCTCCAAACTTGCCAAAAAACTCTAGAAAACCCCCAAAACCCTCACAACATCCCTTCCTCCATCTTTCGGGCTTTGCGGGGCGCGGCCGCAATCTCCCGGATGCCGCTCTCAACCAAGTAGGACACAACCAGCGCCAGCGTACCTGGCAAGGTGCGCCGCGCAGACCAGGGAGGTTTCTCTTGCAATAACACGCTGCTTCACTGAAGTGCGCGCGCTCTCTGGATGTTCAAACCCTGCCGACAGGGCTTCTGCCAAACAGAATGGCCAAGGAGCAGTGCATGGACGGTCCCAGCGGCTCACTGTCACCACTTCCTGCCTGAAGAGCATCGTTGCTGGGACGGAGGGTGTTCCGCTTGGCATGTGAAGCACTTGATTTGCACAACTAGCATGCGCAAAGGTGGGCCTGCATGACCACGGTGCTGAGAACAATGGCGCCGCAGCACATGAACAGAAAGGCCGTGGCAGTGTGCCGAACGCCAACCATCGCAGTCATGATGGTGTCCTTCAAAATTACAAATGACGATAAGGAACAACACTGACACAATGACATGAACCGAAACAACCTTTGCATGGCTCAAGGTTTTCACAGGACCGTCAAAATAATGACAGGCTTTCACCACGCCTGTATCTCAGAGCTGCCATGCCGAGCCGACGACACGTCCGCGATAAAGCGAACAAAGCACGCAAGGGTCGCACCGTACCTGGGCATTTCAGACAACACACTTGTGTTGCCAATTGTTTTGAGGTCACATTGACTTCACATATTGGCAGACGCACAAAACAGCAAAACGCCAGTATCAAGCAAGCGTCATGCACAGCTGTGCCCAAAGTGGCGGTGCACCAAGAGCATTTCCGGCCAGCTGGACCGCACGAAGTCTGGGCACAAAACAGGTTGCAAACAACCAATCTGCAACAAGAAGCAGCCAATGTCCACTGCAATCCAAGTTGCCGAGTTCCGATCCTTGCTTGTCGTTCTACAACACTCGTGTAAGCAGAACACATGTTTGTTGTGGTTGCTGATGCTTGTACTGCGCACCTCGCCACTTGGCGTGCCACCCAGCGACATAAGTATGGCAATCACCGGAACTAATGAAAGGGCTTCCGTTGCCTCATTTGGATGGACAATCTGCGCGGTAGAACTCATGGAGATTGACATGTGTCCTGCATGTGTCGCACCTTCACCAGGCGTGCCTCGATAGAAGAAGTTGTGACCTTCACCACACAACGCAAACAACGTGCCGCTGTTGCACTCCACATTCTCAGGCGCGGGCCTCTTTAATGTTGGAGACAAACCGGCTTAACCGCAACAGTATGACCTCCGCGTGCTTGCTGTGCGCACTTGCCGCGTGCATCATGCACAAAACCAAATGCTCATCCAGTGGGCACAGAATCACCAAAACCCGCGGCAAGCTTCAGTGTCATGTAAGCCCAATGTAAGCGCGTGGCAGCCAAGAAAACGCTGAAGAACAAAGTGCTCAACAACATCGTGCAGCGCAGTGCCTGGGCAAACCGTTCAATGCCCGAGCTGCCACAAGAGTTCCAATGGTGCACTTGCCGGGTGCATGGCCGGAGCAACCGGTATGGAGCTCGGGGCCCCAAGAACTTCATTGCCTGGCATTGAATAGAAGTACTTGGCAGCTCGGGTTTAGGGCGTACAGAGTTTATGTGCAAGGTTACGGGTACATCATGGGTGTATGTTTGTTTGCAGGGTTCACTTATTCCAGCTGTCTGTGAAACAATTGATTTTTCATGTCCATGTGAAGCAATTTTTTTAATTACGCGATTTAACGTGTAGGTGGCAGCCCCGAAGGGCCTCCAACGGATCGGCGCAACGCTTCCTCCAAGTCCGTGGCAGCGAAGTTCGCCTTGCACATGGGCTTCACGTGGCGTGTTTTTTTTTGCTCATAAAAACATTAGGGAGGGTTTACGTGAGGTTTAGGGTTTTTGGGGAAATAGGGTTGAGGACAGGGGTACAAGTTTTCCCTGGAAGAAGATAGCTCGTGAAAAACATCGGTCGAATCAACAGAAGTCAAACCTGTCGGAGCGTTGCCCGTGAAAAACATCGGTCGAATCAACAGAAGTCAAACCTGTCGGAGCGTTGCCCTGAATGCGACAGCCGGGGATGCTACCCACACGCAACACGTAACACACCGATCCTAACACAACCATGAACAGGCAACAGGAGAAGATGAGCACATATGAGCAAGATCGGGAACATGTCAGAGCGATCCCGAAAAGTGTTCCCCATGATGGGCCCTAAACCATTTGCCGTTTATCCTTAATTAGTCTTTGGCTCCACATCTTGCTCAACTGAATCCTAACAAACAAACAGGGCCAAGGCACCAAATCCATGGCGGGCCACATGCGCGGTCGCGCTGGAGCAGCGGAATCTGGAGCCACACATTCAAATTGTCGTGTCGCTTTTGCTTGCGAGTTTTGGAAGAGTTTAGAAGTTTGGCAACAGCCGTGGGGCATGGTTTAAATGATGGAGTTAAACGCCCCGCGCAACCGCGACCGGACGTGCCCCCCGGACCAGGCTTATGAACACGCGCGAAACATCGGAGAGTGGGCGCGGGTAGTGCATGAAGCCCAGCGATAGACATCGTGCTTCAAGCACGCCAGGAGTCGGATCAGTGAATGCTCTTGTTCACTTCCCGCGGTACAGCAAAACAAACCCAAAGACCAAAGAACATAAATCACAAGACCCAAAACACCGCCCCTCCCCCCGCCCCAACAAAAAAACTTTTAGAGGCCTAGAGGGTTTTTTCCAACATTCACGGCGGATTGTGCTGGGCACAATGTGGCCAATACTTTCTTGACAATTGTAACGCAGCGAAAACGTTTGTCTACTAACAAATGTTCGATCTGAGTGTATCAAACGGATCACCACCCCTTAAGAAAAACACCGCAGGGGGGCGCGGGGTCCCCTGCAGTGTTTTTTCAATTGGGGGGGTCGGTGCTTTTCCTTTGTTTTCGCACCCCCACCTCGCCCAAAACCGAAGCCGAAAAACATTGGAAAAACCAGGTCTGGGATCTATAACCCGTCAACCAACTGGCCTTAAGGCGCATGTCGGGGTTCCGCTTAAACTCATTTTTGCCACTATTCTGGATTCTGCAATACTGCCCTGCACCAAAAACCGACTGCCAAGACAACGAGATACTGGACCCCTCGCTTCAATTTTATCAAAAAGCATGGCTTTATGTATATCTCGGGGCTCCACTTAACGTGTTCTTCGCGCCACTATTTTGGATACTGTGATCTTACACTGCCGAGAAAACGGGTGTAAAAGAGACGAGGCACTGGATCTTCACTTGGATATCAGGATGCATCTGAAACTCAGATCTCTTCCACTCCCAAAACTGGCCGCCACTGTGGTTTAACAAACGGGATACGAATCAGACAAACAATTGAAACCCTCACCTTGCAGACTTCCAAGAAAAACAAAGGACCTGGCCGAGGGCCTTTTCACGATTTAGCAATCGCAAGACTCGGTACAATCCAACAATCAATGCACGTACCCACGCCTTCTAGCTTCCTAACCCCAAACAAAGGCTTAAACAGCTAAAATCCTGCGAGCGCCCCGTTTACCCAGAGAAAGCTTCTTTCTGCCTCTGTGGAGGGCTGGAAGACACAGCTCCGGGCTTCAGGTCCAAAACTTGGCTGAAACTCAGGTACCGAGCACCCAGCAAAACTTAAACTTTCCTATTGTAGGGGACAGACCCAAAAAGTTCAAAGTTAACCCAAAAGTGCGGCCGGGGATCTGGACCAAAGTTTAAGGCTTTTAGGAGGTTTTCGGGTTCAGGATTACTGCTTGTTTAAAGTTTCGCTTGCCCTGGTTTAAGCTGAAGGGTTGAAGCCTTAGAGCTTAGGACGCGAATGTGTGTGTGTGTGTGTGTGTGTGTGTGTGTGTGTGTGTGTGTGTGGTGTGTCCCTTTTGTTCTTGATCTTTGTCTCTGGCACTGCGGCGCGCAGGAGTTCTGCGCGGACAAGAAATTTTTTTTTCACGATTCTTTTCCGCCTGGCTGGTGGCTGTCCAGTCGTGGGCTACACGACTACTACCCTCTCCACCTCGCTCACCCGCGCAGAGGCAACCGACTCGAATCTGACGGCGCCGCCAGGTCAAGCACGCGCTCCAAAGGCGGCTCGCTGCGCTGGCTGGGGTGGAGCGGAGCGGGCCACGGCTTGTTGCACGGCCACACCGAGCAAGCTCCACCAACGGCGCGACCAGGCGGTGTTGGGCGCGTTCCGGAGCGCGGGTGGAGCTTGCAGGTCAAGCACACGGATGAGGTCGCTCACGAAGCGGATGGCTTGTTGGTTCCAGCGGCCTCCAACTTCGGACCCGAGTACGACGAGTTTCTGAGGGCCGCTGCTACTCAGCTCCGGATATAGGCGGAGGGCTTGCAGCGCTCGGCGGTTCTCAGCACGGCCCCGTCTATATCGGCTGCGCCTGGCTGTGGGTGTCCCGTCCGGGTGAGGGGCGAAACCAGCGTGGCATCACAGCACATTGCCCAGCACACGACGAGGTCAAGCCGTCGGCGGTCATCTGCAAGGACTCCCGCTGCCGTCGTGTGCGACAGCCACTGCTGGGGCACGACCTGCCCGTCGGGGCCCACCGCCTCTCGCGCCACGCGGGCCCATGCACGCTCGATGGTTTTGGCTCGGCGGGCCAGCAGCCCGGTGCGTGGGCAGGCAGGGGCGTGGTCCCCGTGCTGGTCCACGCTCTGGCCACGGCCTGGGTCCGGGCCACAACGATTCGGGCAGCGGGGCAGGGGCAGGCGCAGGCGACGCCGCAAAGCGATCTGCATAGCTTGTTTTTTAGCTTGCGGGGCCTGCGTGAGCGCTGCCTCGCCCGGCACAGCGGCCAGCCAAGGCTCCGGCATGTGGCCCACCTTGTGAGCGTAGCAGGGCCCGCGATGCTGGCAGCAGGCTGGCGCCGTCATAGGCGGCGCGCCACGTGGGGCATGCAGCCCACCCTTCAGCCACCAACAAGTCGCTTGCGGCCACGGCCTCGCGCAGGCAAGGGACGGGCCCCCTCCTTCTTCCAAAGCCGCCAAGCAGTTGTCGGCGGCATTCGGAAAGCGGGACCGCATGACGGGGAGCGTCCATCCATGCCGCCCAGTAGGCTGCAGGAGCCGTGCGCTCGGCCGACTGCAAGCCGAGGCCTCCGTAGAAAGCGGGGAGGGAGGCGAGCGACCAAGCTTGGCCTGCATCTACCCGCGGCGCGCCACCCAAGCATTCTTGGAGTGTCTCCCAGATGGCCTGGTCATGCCCTCGCGCGTAAGGAGCCGCGGCAAGGTGGGAGCTTCCGCAATGCATGCGTGGTTCCCGCGCGGCGAGGCGCAGAACAGAAGCAGGAGCCAAGCGCATTGCAAGTCGGGAGGTTATGCAGCTCCTCGAGCAGGTGGCGCTCCTCGTGAAGCCGCGCGTCGGCCCATGCTTGGACGAAGTCGGGGTGCCTTAATGGCGTGCTCAGGACCACGACCCTGCGCTGGGCCGGCGGCAGGTCCCTTCGCCACACGTCTTCACCTAGCTCGGCTATCCCGCTCGGTGGCGGGCCGGCCTCATGCGCGATGACGCGCGTTTTGCTAAGGTTGGAAACGATCCCGCATCAGTCAGCGATCGTGCGGCAGGTCGTGTCGAGCGCTGGCCGGGCGCGGTCCGGGATTGTAACGATGTACACGTCATCCGAGAAGCCATCAGCGCGTCCTCGTCCTGCAGGGGGGAGTCCGCACTCCGCAACGCTTCGTGCTGCCCGAGCGAGTACAACGCGGGTGCTAGTGGATCGCCTTGCTCGCAGCCCTCCCCTGGTGAACTTCCCTGTGGCGTCCGGCGTCATCCCACCAGCTGTACACCGAGGGCTGGCCATAAAACATCCGGGCAAAGAGGAAAAACTCAGGGGCTACTTCGCGCAGTTTTGACAAGAAGACCAGACGCGACATGGAGTCATACGCGCTGCGGCCGTCCAACGAGACCAGGACTAGCTGCGTCGCGGCGCTGAGCTAGGGCGATCCGCACTTGGGCGGCGAGGGCGTCGGTGCCTGCCCGAGCCTGCAAAGCGATCTGGTACGGGCGTGTAGCCCGATCGAAGACGGAGGCCCACTGCTCTGCAAGCGCACGGGCGACGAGGCGGCGAAACGCATCGCCCGTGGCTAAGCCGCGCACTCCTCCGTCGGGTTTGCGTAGAGCTGCGAGTCGGGCCATGGCCAATGCTGTCCGTATCACTGCGGGGACCGGTGCGCGCGCTAAGTAATTGGCGGCCTCCGCGAGCAACTCCACGGCTTCCGCGTCTGGCAACAGGAGCTTCAAGTGCTCAGCGCGCATGCCCGACAGCCCCGCTTTGCCTCGCGCAAAGTGGTCGCCACAGCACCTGCTGCGAGCCGCACTGGCTGTTGGGGCTCGTATTCAAGGAGCTCGGGCGGTAGTGCGGTGTGGTGGCCGACGCACCGGATCTGTAAGGGCTCGCCAAGTGTCCTGTGCCGGGGACAAGCTCCGCTGTCGTCGGCATTGCGCCCGTCCTGCGACACGACCACTGCACGCAGATCAAGCATATCATGAAACTGCGGAACGTGATGCTCATCGAAAACAACAGCTGAAGTGGATCTCGTGGCCGAGGTGGCACGCCGAGAGAAGCGCCTGGAAGAGGCCATGCAGAGTCGGCAGGATGGCAAGCGCCAGGGAAAGGACCTCGCGCCCGAGACACGCAATGCGGTGTAGGCTAGGCGCAAGAGCATGCACGAATCCGTGTACCGGTCAAGCGTGAGAACTCCCGATGGTTTGCTTTCGGCGTTGAGAACAGTGACTATCTCCCTGGGGTCCAGCATGTGCCGAGCAAGTTCTTTGGTTTCGTGGCGCATGTCCCTGCGGTCGATGCTCAAGCGCGATGCTCGTCGACGGCTTGTATGTTGCTCTCTGTGCGGGGGGTCCGTTGGCCTGCTCTCGGTTGCTTTGGGCCAGAGGTCAAGCAATGTGAGCATGGGGCCAGAGGTCAAGCAATGTGAGCAGCTGATGCACAATCTCGGAATGGATCCATGCGAGAGCGCGGTCCAAACCATCGACAACAAGTTCTTGGACGAGGAACCGACCCGGTATGACCCAGTTCCTCCCCTGGGATTTGGACGCGAAGAAATGGCGCATCCATGTGGGGATGCTTTTTTATGTGGGGGTGCGCAACAACATGAAAAAGGAACGTGTGCAGAAGGAGCATCTGCAAAATACCGGAGCGCATGAAGAATTACTAGGTAGAGCCGGTGACCGGGAAGAAGATCGACGCGGGGTTTTCCAACTATTGGAAGCGATGCCACAGGCGCGCTCGACAAAGCCTGCCAACACGTCACGACACTCCCCGGCACGG